ATGATGTATTACAAACCACTTTATTGCCGTATCTAGGGGAACGTTCACATGTCCTTTTTCAGAAAGACATCGCGCGTCCCCATATTGTTTGTTGTTCTACGGACTTTCTTCAAGAAGCAGGCGTTAATGTTTTGCCGTGGCCACCTCGTTCATCGGAATTAAATCGCATCGAAAATGTGCTGGATCTGACGGGGAGGAGACTAACCACTTTGCACCATCCGCTACAGACTCTGCCACAGTTAATCCACGAGTTGCTCTGAATGAGATGCCACAACCAGACATCGATCATCTCATTTTGTCTATGCCTAGACGTATACAGAAGTGTATTCAGCTGCGGGGTCGCCCAACACATTATTAATTTTGTTTCTTATTGTCAATAAAATTTCATGAGAATGTTATCGTTTCATTCTTGATGTAAGACTACCTCATTGCCAAAAAATCAAGTTGAAGAAAACATTTTTTCTAGGTGTAACACTTCTAATGTCACTGAGTATATTTTTAATGTTTATTACATGTCTCGATTACATGTGTTTTAATATTATCTAGGCTTGTTAATATTCGTACTGATTTTAATAACAGGGTATAACCAAATTCTTATGTACCTTTGATCATATCTTTATTGTGTCTCCCTATGTTGTAGATCAATTTTTTAAGTAAGTAATATATATTTAGTGATATTTAATTAATGTATTTAATTTTAATCATGACTTTTTCCATATCATGTCTAATGATCAAGAGGATTCATATACACCTTGGGAAAAAACATTATTATACATTATGATGAGGAAGAGAGATGGAAATATACAAAAGTATGTAGGTGCGTGAAAGACACTCGATTGTAGGACGGGGTAAAGTAGAAGAGTGATAAAAGAGAGATGGCAGAACGGGCGCTGGCGCCTGCTGCTTAGACGGATGCGCTCAACAAATGCGATTTGTTTCTCCCATTCGCAGAGTTGCCGTTACCAATATGTCATATTTCTAAGAAATCTAAGTCTACCCAAATTTCGGGAAAAATAGCTGCGGATTCCACATAAGAGTATTCCAAAAATAAAAAAAGTACAAACTATTAAAATTGTATTAATGTTTCATGGTTCAAATCATATTTTTCATGTTTGTATATTGTTGTATAAATGATTTTGTAATCCCTATTCTTGTTGCCAGTAGAGATACAACAGTATTGAGAGAAATCATGGACCGCTAGATAGGGCTACAACTACCATATGACTATCAAATAGTAGTGATAAACAAGGTTGGTTTATAGCACAGTTGCCTGGTGTGGCGAATTTGCGCCATAGGGGCGATTTGACAACTTTGAAGGACAACTATAATGGGTACTATGGTGCCCGGTATTCGGGAATCTGGCAATACCTAATGATTCCTAACGTTTATTACGCCAGATTGTTTGCTGACTTGCGCAGTACAACATGACAATCAACGTGACTGAGCACCTGGTAACCCTGGTTTAAGACGTTATATTTAAAGAGCTTGGGGCAGTTAGGTATCTAGGTCACATTTTTTAATGTATTTCGAGCAATCCGTAATGTTGAGTAAATACTAGATCACGTTTCTTGCTTAGTTTGCTGAAAATTCTACAATAGACGTACATTTTGAGAAACAGAGATTTGGTGACGACAAAATCGTAAAAATATAACGCATTTTCGTAAAATAATTTCTTTGTTGAAAAGACTGTGGCTTGATGACCCATTGAACGAGGATAGTGTCCCGCTCCGCTTTGAATATTCGAAACACTATACTCCAGCAGCATTCAGCTTCAATGTTATCTTTATGAAGTTCTAACGTCTAGGCCATGCTGATTAAAAGCTTGAATGAATCAACACTTAACTCTAAATTCCCCACAATTCGGGAAGCTCTACTCAAATTGGCAACACAGCGTATCTGCCTATTATTCTCATTCTTGATACAGGTCTGCGGTCTGCTGCAAATTTCAGTATGCGTTGAGTCGATATAAGAAGTACAGTAGATGCGCGCATTACGCAACAGTTCGATTGGACGTCATGTGAACCGATTTCGGTGATTTCGAGATTTCACGAAATCACCTAAATTACTCTACTTATTTTTATGAATGGATAATTGATTTTGTAGCAATAAAGGTTGCGTCTCATAATAAAAATAAGAAGATACCCACTCTAACAAAAAAATAGTACACTCTTAAAAATGTGTAACGAAAATAAAAAGATATTCTAACAAAAAAATAAGTTCTCAAAAATAAAACGCAATAATGAACACAAATGTTTCAAATGGTCCTTCATAGCTGGGGCTCAAAAACGTCTCCTTCATTCAATGAACAGTATGTCAGGCGGTTATAAAACTCCTGACGAACTCTCAAGAGGATAGAAGGCTGTATTTGCCCGAGCGCTTCAACGATTTTCACCTGTAGGTTATGCAAATTGTCTGCTCTCTCATTGAAAGTGTAAACAGTACTTTTCACATAACCCCACAAGAAAAAATTATTGGGCGCTAGATCGGGTGATCTAGGAGGCCATTTTATTGTTCCGTTACCGCCAATAATCCGGTGGCCGAACACACTTTCAGGGTAAGTGTGTACGATCGCCGCATTATGCGCCGGGCATCCATCTTGTTAAAACCAAATATTAGCGAGATCAATGCCAAGGTGTCTAATTGCAGGAACAATCTGCGTCTGTAGTAACGCCAAATATTTTGCAGCCGTAAGAGTTCCATCAATAAAGAACGGTCCGATAATGTTATTACCTAGAATTCCTGCCCACACATTCAGTTTCTGTGGATACTGCGTGCGGACGGGAATACTGAGGTGTTTATTTTCCCGAGGCCAATACCGAACGACTGAAGGATTGTGATGACCGTGGAGAGGGAATGTGGATTCATCAGTAAACAAAATGTTACCAATAAAACTTCCATCCCTGTTCGCCTTCTCCATGACCGTTTCACAAAACTCCATTCGACGGTATTTGTCTAAAGGAAATATTTCTTGAACCGTTCCAACCTTGAAGCTATGATAGCCGTTGCGATGCAAAATATTTCTTGTTGTTCTGGGTGTGAGATCGGCTATTGGTACCATTTCAGCAATATTTCTGCTTGAGCATGGCTCAGATACTTCTGCAGCGGCACAAACAGCAGTTTCGATCTCCTCCCTTTTCTCGCTAATTTTTGGTTTCCAACATGCAGCATGCAGCTATGGCTCGTATGTAAGCAGCCCACCCTCTTGAATTTTTCGTAGGTATTTATAACCGTTGCGTGAGACGGAATTGGCCGATCTGGGAAGCGTACCGCAAATAATTCAACAACCGCGCGTGCTGAATTATTCTGGATGTACCATTCTATCATTTGAAACTTTTCTTCTTGCGAGTACATTTTTAAGATATTTTGGATTAAATAAAGACGCACCTTTCCTACACAAAACACAACCGCAGAGTGAGTCATGAATCCCTTATCGCACTTGACAACGGCACGCGCGTTAACGGTAGGAAATATGTACGAATAGCGATGAAAGTAGACGAGCCGATGCGCTGTTGCCAAGAAATGATTTCCCATGTATAACAATGGTTTTTCCTACGCTGTATGTATTTATCTAATAAAGCATGTACCCGCTCATGAAAACAACTACTTTCGGATCAAAAGTATCTATCTTGATCTTAGGAAATGGTAACTTGACTCCTATGTTGCCTAAACATATTGGATATTTATTTCGTGACGTTCATGAACCATATTATGACGTTTGTTTAGTTAAATAGGGCTCATAACAGAAGGAATTACATATGGCAAATGTATCCCGTTTCTTTGAAATGATAAAATTGCTTCAATTCAAATAACCGTCGTTCGTGCTCTTGGAGCAGCATTAAATTTTTGTATGACATCCGGAGATACATAACAAAATATGTAAGAGCTGTTATAAGAATCTTCACGTCAACCGGTAGTATTTGTATAAAAAACTAACCGCAACTTTTACTATAACTTTCATCAAACATGTGTTCATCTCTCGCCATCAAAACCGATGTGAATGTCTTCGTGTTCAGTTGTTCTTAGGTACACCAAGAATGGCAGGGAAAATACGCCTGCAAAAATAGTGAAGAATCCATTCGCGTCGTATTGGGAGACAATCATAAAAGTATTTCATTAGGAGACGATTCAGATGTTTCACATTTTCTGTAATGAGAAATCGATTATAACAATTTACAATGAGATGCTGGAAAAATGAAGCAATTTTGAATCTCAACCGTTAGCGTTGTTTGTTCCAATTCACACGTACGGGGATATAACGTGATCATAGAACTATTCAAACTTGGTATAATGTCTTGCTGGCAGTTCCATGCCACAGCACTGGATGCCCTAAGACCTTTTCTACGGCGTACTACCACGCCAGTTAACCAGGAACTATTGTAATCGAAAACATTTAGAAAACAGGATATTATATTTACCTAATGTTACATGGCAGGCGCATCACAAAAAACCATCATATTTACTCAGTGTATCGGTTTGTTTGTCCGATAATCCTTCGTTCCTCTGTAAGTCACACGCAGCATATGGATTTGGAGTTCACATAAGGCTACTACTACTACAGTCATTGTTCGGAAGGATCATGAACCTAACAATATTTATGAAATCAGTTTGTATACTTTTATCAGAGCTATTTTGCTTTATCTTTTGTAAATAAAATATGTACAGAAGCTCTTGACAATTTATGAGGTAAAATCGGGAAACATGGAACATGTCTAATTAATAGGTTGTAATTAATACATGTATGATCAGTGACTGATGCGGCTATATCATCTTCATTAAAACGCCTATAAATTTTAATGCATACTTTTATCGATCTCTGCATGTATCTTATTGAATTTTAAATTCGTCATGCGGTAGGTAGACACTTCCTTGAGAGGAAAGTCGAGTCTGGTAATTAAAAAAGCAGAGACAGCTATTAAGACTGATGTGATCCATGATGGAGGTATATTAGTTACCCATACTAATTTCAATACCTCTTGGTACGAGAGTTGTAGAAAATAAAAATGTCAACTAGTCACTGCAATGCTTGTATTCTATGTAACAATGATTTTAATCAATCAACAGTAGTCACAGTAGCGGACCTTCCATATGTTTATCCACGAATTAGTATCAGGGTGACGTCACTCTTGCTTATGTTAAGGTATTTGAGGTTATGCTTTAATACAATGGCAGCTTTGACAGATATCAGGCGATCAGCTGATTCTCTAATTTTGTTAATAGTTCATCATATGGATATCATTTCTAACAACGTTCTAACAGATCATCTTTATTGCAAGTACATTTTCGAGGGTAAATCATTCTGTTCAGTTGAACTTCTGATAGATCAAAAACCTAAATCTGATCAACTAATAATAAAGATTTGTTCTTTACAGGGAGCAGTACCTATTCAACGTCTTCGAAGCAATCATTTCCACACTGGAGTCGAAATTACAGCGCATAGAAAACCTGGACAAAGCGGTAGAGCATTTGATGAGACGAGTAGAGGGTCTAGATTCAAGAGTTAACAACAACATTGACAAAACAGAGTCTGTCATAGCAAAACTGAGAAACTTGGACTCTAAATTATTTCATACTACTGCTAACAGACTGCCATTTGATGCGAAAAAGTCAGATACAAATCCAGAATCAATCAATTTAAATAGAAGACTGGTCGTTTTGGATGAAAAAGTAAGCGAAATTGACGACAAACTCAGCGTATTGAAGAATCAACTGGACACAAACTCCTTACAAGGAGAAGATTTCAATGCTGAAGCTAGTGAGAAAAGGTCTATCAGCATGAACGTAGTTGAAATCACCAAAGCTCTCAATACAGAAGTAATAAATCACGTCACCAAGGAGCTTGGACAGCTGAAAGAAGCTACAAATGGTGTAGATCGCAAGTTACAGTTTCACATCAATTTAGTTCAAGATAATCTTGGAAAAGTGATTAATATGATCACTGATGTTCATCATGCTATTGTGGACGATCCGAAAGGCTATAATTCACTATTCAATCGTAGTACTACTACTACAACTACACCAAGGCCAGAATTTCACAGGAATAGCAAGATTGATAGTCTGGTGCAGCAAATGAAACCAATCATAACAGTGTCACAGAAAATGGATGAAGTTTGGAATGTTGTAGTGGGTACCAAGAGTTCCGTAGATGATTTGGTACCAAAATCTGATGAACTTCTCACTCAAACTCAAAGACAAGAGCGAGCTATTGGTGAAATTCATAATGATTTGAGGACTAAAACCAACAAGATCATAGCTAACTTAGACAAAGTTGAGAAAAGATTGAAGAAACAGGAAGACGATGTTGCCACGTTAGCCCAAAGACCCGTTCCAGCTGAAGCACTTGTGGAACCGAATTTGGAACATGTCGATGATTATGGAACAACGCGATATGTTGAAGATTACGCGACAGATACAACTTTGCCAGTTGGATTTACAACGATATCACCACCGATAACGCAGACTCCGTCGGCACTTCAGAATCAAACTAATGGAGGTACGACTACAGAGAAAAGGGTGGAGAAGAGGAAAGGCGGGATTATATTCCCAAGTGTGAAGAATAAACCAACACATGTCAACTCAACATTTGTGACGTCAGATGTATCATCTAGCTCAAAGGATGTTAAGGTAGGAAATTTGGATTGTTTTTTCATTTCGAAGCTCACATAAAGGATGTCTCAAAATTCAAGCAAGATTTAAATTAGAATTGACTAGAAAACGCATTCTATAATACTGTTTTTTCTTATTCAATCATATACAGGATAGGGTAGGTAGGTTTTTGTCGGAATTTTCCATGACGATCTGGCATCAACATGACTGAGCTTCGTTGATGTAGCGGTTCTTCAATTCACAAGTATTTTTGTACTTCTTCTTGCCGAAATTGGATAATACTGATGTGGCTAACGTGTGGTTTTCACGAGACGGTGTCGTATGTCGTTCGGCCCGTGCAGGGCCGTATGCTCCGCTGTTCGGTTTTCGTCCGCCGGCGCGCATGACGTCACGCGGAGAGTGATTATCATTTGGGTTGATATGGATAACGTGCATATCTCCACCTACAGGCCAAACGGCTGGACGGATTTTTACATATGAGGTGTCGTTGGATTCGTCCTAGCGGTGCGAGTGATACTAGCTACATTGAAATTTTATAAAAAAAAAACAAAATGGTGGATTTTAATAAAAGATTTCAACCTTCCTACTTCATAGGCTACAGATCAAACGGCTTGATAGATTTTCACATATGAGGTGTCGTTGGATTCGTCTTATCGGTGCGAGTGACATTCCATTTCCTTTTACGATTTTTCTGGTCTTTCAAACTTCTATTCCGTTGTTTGATCTGGAAGAACATCCTTGACCCGAAAAACAGTATTTTAGCTTTTTCAGGACAGTCAATGTTGCTGCTCTTCAACAGAAGTTCACCTATAAGATTTTGCTTTTTTGTCACTATTCCGTCCCCATTGAAAGTAGTGAATACCTTGTTTAGCTTCTCAATTTGATTCATGAAAGTTGCGACAGGTTTTGATAATCCACCCTCACTAAGATGGTCTATCCATGAATAAGTTTCATGTGAGGAACGTTTCAACCTCTCACCCTGCAATTTATTGCAAACAAAGCCGGCCAAATTTTTCAGCCCGTCATACTCGAGCTCATGTATTTCTTCCACTAAAACTTGCTCGGTAGCCAGCTGATACTTCAGGTGCATTCAGTTTACTCTCGTTAATGATGGGGTTAGTGGTTAGTGGAATGTCTGGAGTATCCTTTGACTCTACGCTGCAATAGGTACTCTGAGTATGCGCCTTCGTTTCGCCCCTTACATATATGACCTTATTCTATACTTAAACTCAAGAGGACTTGTATGGTCATGGAGACCATCTTTTGCCCTAATTACTCCGAAAAAGTTTTCTATTGCATCTTGACTAAGACGTCTTGTTAACAGGTATTGGATGCTGTGGCGTCGCTTCAGATCCTCTAGAGCATTTTCTAGCAAACCATAGCGTTTTTTACATTGACTTTGTCTTATCTTTTTGTGAGATATAGCCATTTTTTGCTAAAGTTTGGGTCTCTAGGAAAACTGTGGAACTTCATGTCTTTGCAAAGATTCCGTTTAGATTGATTGTCAGAATTACATCCCACAACAACTCACCGTATTTTTATCAATTTATCAACCACACAGGGTATATAAGGTATGTATAACTAATACAACAAGTCACAAAACCACCAAAAAACACCAACAAATCGCACTATATAGTATTAACCACGATACACGTGAACTGCAGTAACGTTACGACAATCCTGCCGATAACTCTCCGGGTGACGTCACGAAGCTCCGCCCACATGCGCAATATCCTATCTTCAGTGTATGTGTATCGTGGGCCCGTGAAACAATTTAATAGCTTCCCGAGGCCTTTCCTGTGTGTATTTTCTCGTTCCTATGATAAAAATCGGCCTCATAGAGCATGTGATTTAATATTATTGGATTTCTACTTGTACTATTATTTGAAATCAAAAGTTTATATCAACTAGCCCATATACACACATGCATTGATGGAGGAAAGTCGACGTATCTTAACAAAATTTAACTATATTTATTTGAAGTGGTAATAATTGAGATATTTTGCCTGGTATGCTATTCCCAACACAAACCTCTGTGTGATTCAACAGCAAAATGACATATTTTTACTAAATTCAAATAGCATAAATTTTGTGACAGCATTTATACAACACAGCATGGCATTTTAATTTTCAGCTTAACTGACATTCAAATAAAGCTTAAGGTCATTGCCAAGTTACAAATCTGGATGTTTTTTTCCGTAACTCCTATCATTAATTAACGTATCCTACTTGAAGATACCCAACCTGATACAGTAATCTGACGATCTGACGTTCTTATACAATTTCTGCTGTAACAGCGATGTTCCTTAATTAGAAGTGATAAAAATGAAAATATTTTGCGAAAATCAATACTGCTACAGAGGTAAGAACACGCTTTTGGTCTGACTTTTGATATACCTAAGGTTAGGTTAGGATTATTTTCTATTCTCTATAATCTAGGAGCAAAAGAGCAGTCGTACAGACTAGTTGTCGATGTGAGAATGTCTATGAGGGAGACGGATAGCAAGGCTTCTCTTCAGCAACTGTTGAAATTAACGAATTGTGTCTGAACCAAGTCATGCCTCGGTGATGTGAGTTCCAAAAAGTCAAAAAGACTGATTTCCTAACAGCGCTGGTTCATTCATCAAAACGATCTGGGCTTGGTTATCAATACGATAAACTATATTCTGCACATGATACATAATTACGAATCATTAAGCTACGATTTTTTGGTGCGAAAAATGTGGCGCAATCAAAGTGTGCAGATCTACAGCGATAATAATTCCTTTCGAAAACACGTTTATGGTAATGTTCAATGCAAAGAGTGTTAATAACACGGTTACCGCATTTCGAAACGCTTAATTAGTACATATTTGTATTATCATGGTAGAGCTGAGATAAAGCACAGAAAATGTTCAGTGATTCAACTCTTTACTGTGCAAATCCTTGTAATACCTAACATTTTGTTGGTTTTTGTGACACTTGTATCAAAATGTTTATCTGACGCAATGCCCCATGAAATCATCGATGAAAGCTTCGCATTTATTTAAACAAGATATACGTACCTACGTTTCTACCTGATATCGATGACTTTTGGAGGCCTAGAATTTTGCAAGGAAATAAAGAAAAAAATTATAAAAGCTTTAACTGTAGTACCTTGATATAATGTTTTAAGGTCATTATATTATTATACAGGGTGGCCAAACACGTGACGTCATAAAAAAAAATTAGATTCCCCACATCGAGAGGAACCCAAATCACCCCATATATATGGTCCGATTTTGTTTAGTTTAGGAGTTATGATTTTTTTTCGGATTTTTCGAGAATTTTTGAGTTCTGTGTTTATTTTTACCATAACTTCGTTAATAATTGTGATAAATGCCTGCTTTTTTCACGATTATGTAGCTAAGACCTAAGGCTTAACTATCATATAATCATTCAAGTCATGTAACTAATACTACTTTTTAATTTTTTTCAAAATCTTCGAACATAACAAAAAAGTAAAAAAGTGCAACAACTTTGAACGTTTATAAAAAATTGAAAAAACATGTTCTTACTATTCGTAAGTATCTTAAAAACTTCCTTACGGTATCAGCTATTTACCGTAAAAATTTCATCAACCTAGCTTTACTACATGCTACCGTAATTGTGGCTCAAATAGAACCGAACCCAAAATTGGATAACCCTCTGCTCAATAGAAATTGTTAGTTTCGGAAAAAAATTTGCAAAAACCACAAAAACACGTTTGATTTTTACTGAACAGCAGATTATTATTCATTTATGTTATCTACAAGAGGTTTTCAAAATGTCTGCCTTTAACAGAAATGCACAGTGTACACCTACGTATAAAATTTTGTTTTAAATCTCTAAATGCTTATGTGTTGTTTTTCAACACATGTGTCGCTTCTTGAATTTTGTTCCTCAATGAATTTTCATTTGCACATTCTTGGGCGAATGTTATGTCATTAAAATATCCCCAAACAAAAAAATCAATGGGGTTGAGGTCAGGGGAGCGTGGAGGCCATCGTATCGGTCCGTTTCGTCCGATCCATCTGTCTGGGAACCTTTCGTTTAAGTAGTTTCGCACGATCGTTGCGTTGTGGCATGGTGCACCATCATTCTGGAACACCATGTTCCGTCTGCCTTCCAGGCTTGAATTTTCCAGCAATAATGGTAGGCTATTTTCAAGGAAGCTTTTGTAGGCTACCGAATCCAACCTTGACGGCAGTTCAAATGGACCGATAAATTCCATATTGAATATTCCTGACCACATGTTCACACTAAAACGGTGTTGAAATGTCGACGGCCTTGACTGGTGGGGGTTTTCAACAGCCCAAGTATGTAAATTATGGATATTGAATATCCCTGTTCTTTCAAAACGTGACTCGTCAGTCCATAAAATTTTATAAAAAAAATCGGGATCCTCTCGTTGTCTTCGCAGCATTGTCTCGCAGAAATCCAATCTTAACTGGTAATCTGAAGGCATCAACGCTTGAACTCTTTGAACATGATAGGCATGATAACCTTCTTCATGAAGAATATTTTGTATCGATGTTCGTGGTATTCTAAGGTTTTGTGCCATAGATCTCGTACTCGTTGAGGGATTCCGGCTAATTTCTTCAAGTACTACTTCTCTGCGATCCGGATCAGCTGTAGGATATCCTTCATTGCTTCCTCGTCCTGGAATGCGGCCTGCCATGAAAGTGTTATGTGTGTTAATAAAAACACGGTGGTCTGGGTAATGCTCAGGTTGTGGTCCGCCTCGGCGTATAAGTTGTTCCCGGTACAGCTGAGCTGCTAAAGCGCCGTTGCCTTGAGCAACGCCATAATAATAATGCATTTCTGCATATTCACGCAACGTATAATGCATCACAAACTTCTTAGCAAACAAAGTCCAAATCAGTATGCAAAGCAGAAAAATTAGCCGGAATCCCTCAACGAGTACGAGATCTATGGCACAAAACCTTAGAATACCACGAACATCGATACAAAATATTCTTCATGAAGAAGGT